CCCCCAAACAAGCTGTGGTGTGCGTTATTTATGCTTGTTGTTTGTGTCGCCGTGTTTGTGTGTCGTGTCAATAGTCGTGTCTATGGGCTAACGCTAAGATGATCGGGAGGGTGAGTGAGTGAAATTAAACTCGTCGGCGTTTGGGGTCAAGTTGGGCAAGTTGTTCTTTGAGATTGTGAAGTACGAAAGCTCGTTGATGTGAGGTGTGTGCATGGTGTCGCTGTAGGTCTGTGGTGAGTGCGAGACATAGTGCGTCACTTTCGGATCGTGCGGAAGCGAGTAGAGCTTCAATCCGTTGCGCAGTTCGCCTCTCACTCTCTTTTCCTCGTTTAAGCCGAAGCCGAGTTGCGCTACATTCGCGCACGAGTTGTTCCTCAAACCGGCGGTCAAGCAGGTGCAAGTCACGCACGGCTTCCCGATACAACCTCCGGTAGGTACGCTCCCATCGACGCACTAACCGCTCGCACCCCGCACGTCCAGTCGCCTCTAACCCACGACCAGCACGGACCACCAACTGTGGTAGCGTGACAGTCCACGCTTCCAACACTTCATCCAACACACCCGAAGTCGACCAACAAAGACTACCACTCTCAGAACCTTCGTCCCCACCAGACCCACTCTCCGAACCCACCCGACTATTTTCAGAGCCCACGGGAGTACTCAGCGAACTGCTTGGAGACCTTTGTCCCGAATTCGTCAACGGTCTCCGACCGCGTGAAGTACCTAACGACCCAACATCGGAACCGGAAGATGAGCCCGGTCGGGATCCAGAGCCAGAGCCCGACGAAGGGGCCTCATCCACGGGACTCACGTCCTTGGACATCACGGTCTCGCACTCGCGCTGCGTCATGCGGTCCCAGACCTCGGGCAGCAGTTCGTCCGAGTCCGAACCCGCGACCGTGGAAGAAGTGACGCGCTTGGCCCGACCCTCGCCCTTGGGTGCCGTCCCGACCTCGTGGGCATCCCCCATCCGGACATTTTTCTCTCCAACGTCCCCCGTCGAGACGTCCTTTCTGGTCGGGACGGCCTCCCCGGTCGGAGCATCTTGAGTCGGGGTGGACTCTGCCGCCGGCGCGGTTCGCAGTTTGGAGAGAATCGTCCGAGGTTCTCGCGTACCAAGGGATGGCTTCCGTGGCCGCGGCAGCGGTGTACGTTCATCCAGATCTTCGAGGTCTTGAGAAAGAGAGAGCGGGACCACCACGCAGTTCCGTTTCGGAGACGGCGCCCGCAGCGATCTGTTAGCGCCCGACCTGTTGCCCCCCGGTCTGTTGTTCTCGCGGTGGTTGGGCGATTGAGTCCTGTTCTGGCCGACCGTCCGGTTTTGATCCTGGTCTCGGTCCAATTCCCGACTCCGACCCCGGTCCCGGTCGTCCGGGGGGCGGGGAGGTCGATCGCGGAGAGGGCCAGAGTTAACGGGGAGGCTGCCGTCGAATTTGCGCGTGTCGGGCTCAGCAGCGAAGCTGATGCGGCGTTCGAGTGAGGGACGTCGCGCACTTGCGGGCGCGCCCTTGCGCGGAGCTTGCGGTTCCTCGAGCGTGGAGAGGGCGAGATCGGCGCAGGGTGCTCGCTGATCGATTGGCGGCGTTTGCACTAGGCATTCTCCGGCCAGTGTCTGATTTTGGTGTTTTATAGTTGTGGCTTGGTCTCGGTTTTTTTCGTCTTCAGACCGATCGTCTCCAGAGCGACAAGGCCCGGTCCCGAATCCGGGTTCAGACAATTCGCGTTTTTTTCCGAGTCTCTTATCAGGTCGTGGGTCGGGAGGGAGATGGTCGGGTACATGGTCGCGAAGGTAGGCCGTAAGGTTGTCGATAAGTTGGGGGTTGGCGTCAACGAGGGCGAGTTCGACGATGGCCTCGTCTTGGAGGGGTGGTTCGGGAACGGCGAGGAGCCCGCACCAGGTACGGAGGGTCTGGGCATCGATGAGGGTGAGGCGAAGGGTGCCTCGGTCCCAGTTGAGGGCAAGAACGACTGAGTAGGGGATTTCCAAGGTGGTCTGGTCAAGAGCTAGACGTAACTGCTCTGTTTGCTCAAAAGACAAATCGGATGCGCCCTCATAAGCCTCGGCGCAGAAAGCGAGCGAGTATTGTCCGAAACAGAGCGACCCTTGCAGCACATCGGCTGGAGTAGGACACACCCAACCAAGTTCCGTAATTCGTACACAGACACGCGTGCTCACATCCGTGATGATCGACAAACTACGCGGCCCAGCATAGACCGCATACTTGCCCGAAAATCGTGCGCATAGGACACGCAATAACACGTCCACATCTTCACACGTCCTTAGCAGATGACCCACCTCTGCCCACTCGCGATGACTCTCCAACACTTTCAACACTAACTCACTCGAAGAAGGCTGACCCGAAGAACGACCTCGGAGCATGTTGGACAACATCTCAGCGGCAGAAAGCTGTAATAGCAAGTCCACGGGCTCGCAGCAAAGCGCGAATAACTCACTCACTACGGACTCTGGCAATGACGCCGAACAGACTGACTGAAGACAGACACACATGTCTACCGCAGCTCGGGCCACCTCCAGATGAGTGTACTTAACATGCGATAAAAGCGGTCGATCCGTACACCAAAATAAGGCAACGCAAAGCCCGAGAATACGACATAAACTTGACGCCATTATGTCACCCAACAACCCGAGATCCTCATCACCACCATCCTTCCCGTGGCCTTCAACCAATCCTGCACCGATAGACTTCTCTCCTGAATGCTGTTCTTCGCCTGTCCAGTCCTGTATCATCGCAAGCATGTACGCGCAAAGACGCTTTATTTGTTGCCACGTGTCTATCTGTCTAATCGGGTCATCCACGCTCGATTCATACAAATCACAAAGGCAATTCAATACCTCCACCACACCCTTCACTTCCGGAATAGAGATTTTGGTTACGGGATCGGCTTTCTTAACCCAATCCGTAAACGCTTCTTGAAAGAAATCAAATTTGCTTTCCTTAGCTAAACATTTTAAGGTGCTAACGATCGACATCGACTCGATCTCGACGCTCGGAGATTCTCCAATTGTGGCCTGAGAACTGCTTGGCTGCATCTCCGAAGCCATTTCAACTGCCAGCCCGCTTTTCCCTTGCTTCCGAGGCCCAGCGTTAGTCTACAGAACTGAGAATTCTACAAGACAAGCCCCTTACATCGCATTTTGGCTTCCGAGCCATTCTTCAAAAGTGTGTGCATACCGCAATCGAACACTTTTTGACTGAAATGGCCCGCGTTCACAGCATCCCGTGCATGGTTCCAGGGCCTCCCGATGATCTCGGGGTGGGGAGCACGATACGAACTGCTGCTGAAAGGCCTGTAGAGTATGCCGGGAGACCTCTGAAGAGAGCATGGCGAAAAACATGTATCTGACGGTTAGTATTGAAGCCAGAAGAGCAGATGGGGACGGTTGAGCAGCTGCGATTTATCCACTCCGACGCGTCCCGCTCCGATTTTAATCCCATCCCGGTCCAGCTAAATTATTTTCCCGCCGGCATGAAGCTAGCCGTTCAAACGGTTCAGTCCGTTGTTAAAGAAATTGAAATCGATGGGCAGCAGACGTTCGATGACTTGAGTAAGAGCACGACTCGCACACTTTGTCACGTCGAACACGCCTCTACCCACAGCTGTTACTTAAGGAAATGAGATTAGCAAGGCCTACAACTGGCCGGCGAATGCCAAGGTCGTATTGGTACACAACTCACGGATACTGTCCCAGACCACCGAAGCGCTTTCGACATATCCGAATTTGAAGGACGGCGATAAGTTGGCCGTGATGAAACGCACGGTCGCCAGCGCTCCGAAGCCCGTGACCCCCGCCGGTGTTGCTCCGGTCGGCATCACGCCGGCCGCCGTCGCTCCGGTCGTCGCCGCTCCGGCGGCAGCTGCGGCCACTCCTGCCGCCGCCGCTTCTGCCGAAGCCGGTGCGGCCCCGGCGCCCGAAGCATCCTCATCCGCCCCTGCCCCTTCCGACGCCCCTGCCCCCAGTTCAGCCCCGTTCGGTTCGGCTTTCCAAAACTCGGAAATGGTGGCGATGATTACGGACATGGGATTCGAACGCGAGAAGGTACAACAGGCCCTGGTTGCCGCCTTCGGAGATCCCGACCGCGCGGTGGATTACCTCATGAACGGCATTCCCGCCAACGTCGCGCGGGACATGGCTGCCGCTGCTGCTCCCGTGGCTGACCCTGCACGTCTGGCGGCCCTGGCCGCAGCTTCTGGGAATGCCGGGTCTGGGCCTGCCGTTCCCGGGACTACCGCTGCTGCGACTACCGCTCCTCCAACTACTGGTTCTGGCATGGCGCCAGGTACAGCGGCTGGTGGGTTACAGACGGAGGCGTTCGGGTCAATGCCGATGGGTGGCGGAGCTTCGGCGCCGCCGACGGCGGCGCCGACGGCGGAGCCGACGGCGGAGCAGAGTCAGAACCTTATGGCGCAGCTCAGTCAGTTGGCGGCCGCGGATCCGAGTATTTTGCCGCACATTCTGCGGGCGATGGGTGAGCAGAACCCTGGCATGCTGCAGTTCATTGAGCAGAACCCGCAGGTCTTCTCTCAGGCACTCGCCTCCATGGCCGCTCAGGGTGCCGAGGGACCGGGACTAGAGCGTGACCCGCCCGGAGTCATTACGGTGCAACTCAGCCAAGCAGAAATGGATGCCGTCGGACGTCTCTGCGAACTCGGCTTCTCGCGCGACCTCGTCGTCCAAGCCTATCTAGCTTGCGACAAGAACGAGGAACTGGCTGCCAACCTTCTCTTCAATTCACTCGACGCAGACGACGCACCCTAACACCTCGGCCATGTCTGGACGCGCCCCGGCCACCCCGATGAGGGCGCAACCCGACCGAGGGCGCAACCCGACCGACAAGTATACATCCTTGAAGCCTTCATCCTCACTAGCGTCGACGTCATCATGCTGGTCCGAAGCGAGGCTGACAAGGAAACTAACGGGCTGTGGAATGAAACCAACGGGCTGGAAGGAAACTGCAAAAAGCAGCAGCGCTTATCCGGAAGCAGAGTTTGTTGAGAAGTAAGAACGGTCGCCAAAAGGTACATGGAAGGACGGGCTTTGAAAGGAGGAGCGCTTTCCATTATTTTTCCGAACGGGCTTGCTACCCTGATTAGATGACACCACTGAAAGAAGAACTCTTTCGAACACGGCTTTATCACCTAAGGGCTTCTGTGCTCGACGGCTTAGAACTAACCAGACGTTCTGAGCTCTGGGTCAGGCAGGGTTCTGAGCTCTGGGTCAGGCAGGGTTCTGAGCTCTGGGTCAGGCAGGGTTCTGAGCTCTGGGTCAGGCAGGGTTCTGAGCTCTGGGTCAGGCAGGGTTCTGAGCTCTGGGTCAGGCAGGGTTCTGAGCTCTGGGTCAGGGTTGGGGGGGTTGAAAATGCGTTGAGCACGCGTGTGTGCATGATTCCCGCTGCAGGATTCGACGAGCCCGTTGCGGTATTGGAGCGTCGTGAGCCGGTGGACAGCAAATGGGTGCGGTTCATCGGGCTGCCAGACGAAGTGGCGTGGCGTACGTTGTTGAACGAGTTGCGCACGGTTGGTTGTCGGATGTCGAAAGCGAGTAGGCAGCTCCGCCCCCTTGAGAAGAGCCCTTCTTTTAGACTGGGTGCGCGGTATCGGTGTGGTACGGCTGTCGCGCGCAGACGACGTGGCTTACTGCTGCCAGCGCTCTGGTGCGCAATGGCTGCCCGGTTTGGTGGTCTGGGTGGAGTCCTATGACCCCAGGACACAAGACCTTGCGACCAGTATGTTGCCGGAACCGCAAATGGCCGACCGACAGAGGCGTGCCGCCACCAGTTCTGGTGCCAGCGGCCGGACAGACGCCTTGGGCGTCGTCCTGAATGGGGGTGGCACTGCGAGTGGGGGGAAGACTGCAGGCGGAAAGACCCCAGTACCACCTCCGACAGGAACGACTCCGGGTGTAGTAGGGATCCCAATGGTGAACTCAGCATGTGGGAACCAATTGGGAAACACAACAAGTGGAAATACAACAAGTGGAAACACAACAAGTGGAAATACAACAAGTGGAAATACAACAAGTGGATGTGAAGGAAACGCACAGTTGAATTTCGAAAGAACTGAACCCATTTCCCACACACCGTGGGTCAACCACGTTATAGACCGTCTCACAGCCAACTGGATCTAACGTGTGCTCCCGACTTGTACTTGTACTCCTAAACTTGAGCTCCCAAGCTTGTCGCCGGAAAAGATATCACCGAAACGACCAAAGCATTTACCGCTCGTACATCTTTCTGGCCTCTTTCTTTTCGGCCTTAGTCTTCTTCTTCTTCGTGCCGTCCTCATTCGCCTCTTCTACGGGCGCAGCCGGCTTCTTCGTCGCCGCAGCAATCTTGGCTTTCAAGTCCTTCTTGCGAGCCGCCTCTTCTGGGTCCACTAAAAGAAGATGCAGTTACACTTCTTCCCGAAGAGTCCAAGCCGGGGGTCCGGCCTGGACTCGAACTCGGGACTAGAGGGCCTGAAGTGTGCTACTTACCGGTCTTCCTTTCTTGGGTCTTCTTGCTCTTCTTGGAGGCAGGCGGCGGAAGTTCTATACGAAAAGAGTATGGTAGCGTCCATCTGAATCGGCGGG